GATGACAGAATGACAGTATTGATTCGGCGGGAAGACCAGGGCTAGCCACTGGCTTGCTCTGCAGCTCAGAGAGAGTTTGGCTTTCCCGCTTCCGCTCCCCATCCTCTGTCAGCGGGCTTTCTTGTGCCCTGGCCCTGTTTCTCAGGGTCGCGAAACACCTGTCGCAGCCCCCTGCAGAAGGACATCGCTCCTCCCCCAGAAGCTGTGTGGGAGTCCCCCCTCCCCCTCCCCCCCAATACGCCCCTCTGGTCTCACTGGAAGTCGGTCATATGCCTTCCTACCCATGAGCCAGTCCGGCAAAGGAGCAGAAGAGCTCTGTGATTGGCTTAGACGAGCGAGCGCATTGATGCCTGGGGGGAGACATTCACCAGGGGTGGGTGCCAGCTTCTTATATACAAGTAACTGACGGGTATTCAGCCTCACACTGACTCAGTCCTTCGGAGTGCCAGAGAAGGCATCTGTGCTCTCAATCCTCCTTCACCCGCTGACGGTAACAGAGGCTTACCCTGAACTCAGCCCAGTTCCCACTCTGGTGTCTTGCCCTGGGGCACAAATAGGAACGTGGCTACAAACGCCCCCTTTAATGAGTCACTGCCATCCTTTCCTCTCTCTCTGGCTTGGCCTTGTCTCCTATGGATGAAGTTTGGCTTGGGTTGAAAGGTACTGATTGTAGAATCACCAAAGCAGTGAAATTTGTCGGTACTGACTAACTTTGTACTTTTAAATGTTTTTTAGTTTATTTATTAATTTTGAGACACACACGGAGAGTGTGCTGTGGGTGTGTGGGGGAGGGGGAGAGAGAAAGGGAGAAAGAGAGGCTCCTTGATGTCCATGCAGAGCCTGACGGGTCGATCTCACGAACTACGAGATCATGACTTGAGCCGAAGTCAAAGTCGGATGCTCAAACCACTGAGTCATCCAGGCATCCCTAAATATTTTTTCTAAGCATCTCAAGATACATTGAAGAACAGCTAAGAGTACATTTTAAAATGCAATTTTTGGAGCACCTGGGTGGCTCAGTTGGTTAAGCATCTGATTTGGACTTTGGCTCAGGTTATGTTCTCGCTGTTCCTGAGTTTAAGCTTGGCGGGGGGGTGCTCAGAGAGAGAGGGAGACACAGAATCTGAAGCAGGCTCCAGGCTCCAAGCTGTCAGCACAGAGCCCGACGCGGGGCTCGAACCCGTGACCTGAGAGATCATGACATGCACCAAAGTCGGACCCTCAACCAGCTGAACCACCCAGGCATCCCAGGCCTATGATGAAACTTTCTAATGGCAACTTAGGTCAGTATGCAGCCCCTTGGGTTGGGCACACTCCTCTCAGGAGACTCTCGGGAGTTAGATTTTGTGACATTCCGAGTAGGTGGGTAGCTGCCCGTGCCCGTGTTATTTTTACTGCCCAGCTGTCTCTTTGAGGACAGACATTTTGCGTTCTTTACCAGCTGCACCTTACACGGCACCTTACCTGTGTCTATGTGTACAACCACATATGCTTTGAGAAGACAGGAGAAAAATGAGATTCGTAGCGTCATAATCACGTCAACTTTCAGATAACCCTGACTTGTACCCCAGCCTCTCCTCTCCCGGACCCTCAGTTTGGAGCCTTCTTGGGAAAACTCTTTGCTAGTTCCAAGAACTCAGGCTTTCCTCCTTGAAGCTGCTTTCAATGTATTCCAAACGGCTCAGGATGTTTTCATAACTCCCTGTAGTAGTTAATGATCATCTTATGATAGTGAGTTTTGAAAGACGGAAAGCCTACCTTACTGCACACCAGCGAGGGGGAAATAGTGCACGAGGGAGCAGTAGGGTCGTGGATTCCAAATATATGACCGGGCGCGAAGTACATGACCTCTGACGAAGTATGGGTGCATCCGGCCCCGCAGATTTCTGTATTCTGTTAGAAGCTTTGGAGTACCTAGAATAGATGTGGGGTATACATAGCGCCAATCCAGATCCTTAAATCCAAAATAACCCAAGGCACAAGGGGAAGAGGGGAGGGTTACACACAGACGACACAGTTTAAGGTTCTTGGTCAAGAAGGGCCCTTCCAGCAATGTTCCCATTTCAAGTGGGAAGAACTTTCTTGAATCTCTTCCTTGTCCCCTTGTCTGATCTTGTTAAGAAGGATATAGTGCAGCAAAGTGAGGCTGGAAAAGGCACTTCCAGATGTTCGTGTGTCTGGAAGAGTGTCAAAGGGGTGACAGCGAGGTACCCGGTTGCTTTGGCTGCGGTTTACCTCTTTCTCACGTTCCCTTACAGGTGCTGTGTCTGGGTGGGGGGGTCAGGCTGAAGGGAGTAAGAATGAAGCAAGCAGTTGGGGGCGCCTGGGGGCTCAGTCGCCTGGGCGTCTGACTTGGGCTCAGGTCATGATCTCATGGCTCGTGAGTTCAAGCCCCGCCACGTGCTCTGTGCTGACAGCTCGGAGCCTGCAGCCTGCTTCAGATCCTGTCTCCGTCTTTCTGCCCCTCCTCTGCTTGCACTCTGCCTGTTTCTCTCTCTGTCAAATATAAAATAATAATAAAAAGAATGAATCAAGTGGCTGTCAGGTGTAGAAATCCACGCGAGTTGGCCAACCCCCTGGTCAAACTCAGATTCGCATGCCCCGTGAGGGTGGTGAGGGTGAGGGTGGTGAGGGTGAGGTCTTCCACAGTGGACCCCTTGTCCAGGCCGAAGCAGGTGCACATCAGGCATTTCTGAATGAATGATCATTTCTTGACCTCCTACCATGGATCAGGCTCTGTGAGACAAAGGTTTTGCTTCTGTGGAATTTGCATTCCAGAGTCAAAGGAAATCAACATGGATTATACGAATCCTTCAAAGATTAATCTCCTTCCAGGTCAAAATGAACCCACGCCTTTACAAAGGTGATAACTCAAAGAGCCAGAGGCGGCCCTACAACTTGGACGTCGGGGAGGTGGCTGTTCGGGAAGTCATGTTTGTATAGCAAGCATCCTGTTTTATTATTATTATTATTATTTTTAAAATGTTATTTATTTTTGAGAGAGAGAGAGAGAGAGAGAGGGAAGGAGGAACAGAGAGAGTAGGGACAGAGGGTCTGAAGCAGGCTCCATGCTGACAGCACAGAACCTGATGCCGGCTTGAAACCACGAACCATGAGAACATAACCTGAGCTGAAGTCAGATGCTTAACCAACTGAGCCACCCAGGCGCCCCACAAGCCTCCTGTTTTATTTTATTTTATATGTTTATTTATTTTGGAGAGAGAGCGAGAGCACGAGCAGTGGAAGAGCAGAGAGAGAGGGGGAGACACAGAATCTGAAGCAGCTCCAGGCTCCAAGCTGTCAGCACAGAGCCCGATGGGGGGCTTGAACTCACGAACTAGCTGTGAGATCATGACCTGAGCTGAAGTCGGATGCTTAACGACTGAGCCCCACCCCCAGGCGCCCCTAAGGACCCTGTTTTAAATGAGAATCTATGTTTATTTGCGGTGAGTGGGAGATGGAAGCTGTTTCTGATTTGGTGGTGGGGCTGCTTCGTAACTCCAGCACCGCAAAAAACCCGAGCCTGGGAGCAGCTGACTGGGTGCTGCGAGAATAAATCACAAGGAGTATGGGAAGGGCCCTCGCACGGTGCTAACCAGCGTACAGTAAGGAGCACAATAAATAAACCCTCAAAACATGTCCCAAGTCCCATCTGTCTGTCCATTTCCACATCTGCCACCTGGCTCAGTCACCATCGTCGTTTTCAACATCGTCCCAAACGCTTTCCTGCTTCTTCACTGCTCCCTGAAGACTCTTTTCAGCCCAGCAGCCCGAGCGATTCCTATCACAGCTACGGGCAGCATGTCCCTCTTCTGCCCCAAACCTTCAGGGGCCTCACGTCACCCACGGAAAAAGCCAGTCTTCAGTGGTCCCCAGGAGCCACCTGCGCTGCCACCTCTTCACTGACTTTATCTTCTACCCCAGATCTCTCAAGTCAAAGGAAAACACTAAGTGCTTTAGTAGTTCTCTAACCCCAGCCGGCACTCCTACCTCAGGGCCTTAGCACCTGCTGTCATCGCTGCCTGGGACCTTTCCCCCCAGAAACGCAATAGCTCAGTGCTCCTCTGTCATCTGCTTCGAGTCAACGGTAGTAGTTATCGTTTCAATGGGACCTTCCCCGACAACTCTATGTGTTTTGAGAGACGGAGACAGCGGGAGTGGTGGAGAGACAGAGGAAGAGAGAGGCTGAGCAGGCTCCACGCTGCCCGCTCACAGCCCCACGTGGGACTCAAAGCCCCATGACCATGACTTGAGCCGGAGCCAACAGTCCGACGCTCAACCTGCTGAGCCACCCCGGGGCCCCCTGACTCCCCTATTTAAATGGAAACACTCCACCTGCGCTTTCCACCCTTCCCTGTTTTGTTTCCTCTCAAGGTATTTAACGCTTTTGACTGCATGAATAACATCCTACTTACCACCTACATGGCGCGCTCACTGGTATACAGTAGGTTTTACTGTATGCATTACATATGCCACGTACGACGGATACATGATATATCACCACCCCGCCCCCCATCTCCTGTTGACACAGGGCGGGAACCTGGCTTCACTCACTGCTGTAACCGCAAAGGGGGGCACCGCAAAGCCCCCCCTTTTGCCGGGTACCCAGCAGGCGCCCGGTCAATATCCGGAGGAGGAACAAATCAATAGCGAATGAAGGAACCCGGAAGCAGCCAGCGAGCCCCCGCTTCCGTCTTCCAGCCGCTTTAATCCCTTCCGGCCGCAGGTGAGGGGGCGGAGCCCGGGGCCAGCGCGCCTGCGCAGCCCCACCCACCGCACGCGCGGTTCGAGAGCCGGCGGCGTGGCGGCGAGTACTCCTTTGCGAGGCTGGGCGCCCGCGGAGGGTTACACGCGGAGGGGCGGGGCCTGCGGGGGGGCGGGGCCGGCCGGGATCCCTCAGGCGGCGGCCGCGCCGCGCTCAGTCGCGCCGCCCGCCGCCCTCGCCGCCGCCCGGCCGCTGCCCCCCGCAGGCCCCCGCCGCCGCCGCCGCCGCCGCCGCGCCCGCCGACCCCGGCCGCGTCCCAGCCCCGCGCCGAGGCCGCGTTCCCGTCCCCGCCGCAGCCCCCGCCGCAGCCATGTCCAAGGAGCCGCGCGCCGGCCGGGAGGAGATCCTGGAGAGCCAGGTGATGTGGGAGCCTGACGGTAAGAAGAACACGCAGATGGACCGCTTCCGGACGGCCGTGGGCGCTGCCTGCGGCCTGGAGCTGGGTGAGTGCGGGCGCGCGGCCGGGGGACTCCCGGGACACGCCATCCCCGGCCGGGGCCCGACGGACCACCTGGCAGAGGGGCCCCTGCGGGCCGGGGCGCCCCCTCCTCCCGGCGCTGCTGGCGGGGCCCCTCCTAGGGGTCTCTTGATTCCCAGTTTCCTCCTTCGGGGGCTTGGAGGAGCCACTGGAAGTGGGGGCCCCTTCTGGGGGGGACTCCTGACTGTGGCATCTGCGTCCCTGGGAGGGTCCCCCAGCTCTCGGCCTTGGAACTTGTGGGTCCTGAGGGCTCCCTTGCTAGTCTTCCTCCTTGTGAGGCGAGGTGCTCCCTGGGGTGTTGCACCCTGGCCTGGCGGGGGCTTCCTTCCAGGTGTGGGGTCTTTCTGACTTGTGGTTCTTCTCCTGTGTGTGTGTGTGGGGGGGGGTCACTCACCAGCAGGTAGCACCTGCTGTCCCCTCCTAGCACCGCGCCCCCCCGCCCGACCTTAGTAAAGCGCCAGGTGTGGGGTTCAGGCACCCGGGAGAAAGAGGGTCAGGCAGGAGCCTCAGGGATTGGGGCGGAACTCCTTCCCCGCCTGGTGACACTCCCAGCCCCCAGCAGAAGCTGGTCCCAGGCCCGCCACCCAGCCGCCACCCTGGCTTTCAGGAGCCACCGGGCTGGGTGTGGGCTGGGCTGAGGAGGCCCTTTTCCTGGGTGAGAAGCACTCTGGCACGGGCGTCCCTGCAGCCGCCGGCGCGTCCGACTTCCTGCAGGACCCTGCCCGCCTCCGGGGGTTTTCAACTCCTCTGGGCCGTTTTCGTCTCCATCTGGGCCCTGAGGTGGCTTCTGGGCCCCTGTGCTTCTGCTGGTGGCATCCCGTCAGTGTTGTCCGTCATCGCCACGGAGACGGAGACTTGTTCTCTGCCTTGCCTGGGGGAGGCCCTGCTTCCCAACGCTTCCCCCGCCCTTTTCCTGGGCCCCCTCGTTCCCTCCACCCTGAGCGTGGGCTGGTTTTCCTGCTCTTCCTCCTCCCTTCGGTGCACCCTGCCTGCTTTGCCGGGGCACAGGTCTGACTTTGCCGCTCCTTGGCTCCGAGCTCACAGTGGCGCCTTGTTGACCGTGGACTTGCACACGGTGCCCCCGGCAGCGTCCAAGCCCTCCACAGCTCGCGGGGTGTCAGAGCTCCCGCTGAGCCCCGTCCTTAGGCGGACCCCGCTCTGTCCCTCTCCCTCTCTCCTGCTCGCTAGACGCGGAGCACCTTGGAGACAGACGTGGCTTTATTACTTTATTATTTTATTACGTGGGTCCCTTCAGGTCGTAGTCGGTAAATGAACGTGTGTTGGGTGGGGGGGCGAATGGACGTGACTCCCGAGAAGAGCCAGGAGTGGAACATTCTTCGCCTCGATTCCGTCTCCGGCTCCTCTGCCAGCAGTGATGTATTCTGCCCTGTGCGGAGCTAGCCCTGCCGCTTGGGGAAACGATTGCACGTGGGTTGTGATGTGGGTGAGACCCATCCAACCTGACGACTGGGATCTTGAACTGCCTCCACTGCTTTACTAGCAGTGTGATCGGGAGAAAGTCACCGGCTCTTCCCAGGCCTCACTCTCCCCGTCTGTGAAACAGGCATGCTGGGATGGCCCGTGTCAGCGGGTGGTACGAGGGTGACGGGAGGTGGTCAGGCCCGGTGGTCACCTGCCCCTGGCCTGCGGGTTGCTGTGCAGACACCACCGGGCACTGGCGCCTCCCAGTCTGCCTGCTCCGTGCTGGTGGGCCAGGGGCCCGGGGCCAGAGGGGAGCTGCGGACTTAGGACTTGGCTTGGGCAGTTCACACACTGGGTGACTGCACGGGAGAAGCCGTATTTCCATCTTCTTTTGAAAACCTAGAAGTCTGTGATGCTGGGTCTGTCTCTCCACGTGGTGGCCATGAGCTGGCCCCAGGACGGTCCCTCTCTGGGCCTGGGGGTGGTTTAGAGCTTGGCGTCTGTCTCTGTGTCCTGTTCCGCTCCTGCTGGCTAAGCCGGCTGCTGCTTCTCTCCCTTCTGGAGGCCTGGCCCTGCAATTCTGGGCTTTAAGATTCATCTCAGGTGCCAAGCAGCGTTCTTGGTGCCTTGTGTGCATTGAGCCATCAGTCCCCACAGTCATCCCGGGACAAGTACATCATCTTTTATGGCAGAGGGACTGAGGCCCAGAGAGGACTGGTTACTCGTCTGAGCTCCCGTGGAAAGGGGCAGGATCTGAACCCGCATCGTCCAGCTCTGGAGCCTGTGTCTTTAAGCTATGTGCTCCGTTGGTCCTCGGGGGTCATTATTGTTAACCCCATTTGCAGACAAGAATACCGAGGCTCAGAGAGGTGGCGCGGCTTGCCCAGGTCACTGTCGTAAGCGGCAGGGCCGACACTCGAATGCGGGTCACCCAGCCCACCTGGGGCGCAGGGCTGACTCCCCATTGTCATGGAGGACCAGGCCCTTCTCCAGCCAGTGTCCAGGTGACACACAAGGACACTGCGTCCAGAGACGCAGGATGGCCCTACCTGAGGTCCCCAAGCATGGGCTCCAGAGTCAGGGCTGGCCATAGTGCTCCAGCCGCGCCACCCCTGGGTCTCTCCCTGCGTGCCTGGCTGGCCTGGTCTGTGGCCGCAGGCCTTTGTGGTGGGGCGGGGCCGGGGGCAGTTCTCCTTGGGCTTGGGGGGGGGTGCGTCGTTGCCACGATGCGAACTGCACTAAAGCCCCTATTCGCTGATCGCTGCATGGCCGCTGTGCTGACTCTCCCCATGTCATCCGGGGTGATCCTTCTCCACCCCCTGCTGCAGAGGGGGCGCTATACACCTCCCTTCCCGCTCTTCACCTGGGCTCTCGGCTTCCCCCTCCTTGCTGCCAGGCCCGCTCTCTGAGGACTCTCTCCTCCCCCGCCCCTTCAGGGTCCCGAGTGCCTAAGGACAGTTCTGGACGGCTCAGTGGGAAGGTGCATTGCCGGAGGGCAGGGATCATTGTGTCTCTTCCTCTGTGTCCCCTCCCTGACCCCCAGGACTGGGAGCAGTGAAGACCGTTAAGTCTCAATGGCACTGAGGGAATTCAGCCCGGCCACTGCCGTGTGCCATGTTTTCTTCTTCCTGACACCTTGCTGGGCGGCTTCCTGCTGTCTGTCCCTGGAGCCCCAGCAGAGGGACGGAGCCGCGGCACAGGGACAGGGACGGAGCCGCGGCATAGGGATGGAGCCACGGCATAGGGATGTGTGGCCTGTTGGAAACATGCGAGATACAAACGCCCAGTGAGGGGAAGGGACTTTCCCAAAGTCTCAGAATCTGGTGTGAGGAGCTGCTTCCATTTGCGTAAAAAAGAGAGAGAGAGAGATATCTATGCATGTACAGGATCTCTGGCAAGACACACATGTGTTGCTTATTCTGAAGTCTAAGTAAATCACCCCCCACCCCAAAGTGTTACCCACCGAGAAGCCTCTAGTTTTGTGCCTCTGGCTTTTCACATCTACTAGATACGACTTTCCTCATTTTGTGCGGTATAATAATAACACGCTTAATGAAGCTCTGATCACGTCCAAGGCCCTGTTCTAGCATCTTATGCAATGTGCTCATTTAAATCCTCCTAATCACCCTACAAAAGAGGGGCGTGCTATTAACCATCTCCGTTTTACAGATGGGGAGACTGAGGTACAGCATGCTTAAGTAGCTTCCACAAGGCACACAGCTAATATATGCCCAAGGCGGGATTTTAACTCGGGCCTTCTGGCTCCGGAGTCCATATTCTTAGGCATGCTAGGGACAGGAAATCACTACCTCGTTGCTTTTGTTCGTTTTAGGGACCAGCGGTGGTAGGTTTGCTCTGGTAAAAATTAGGGTTCTCCCCTCCTGCCCCAGACCATTTCTTATCACGTGCCTTTGAACGACTCGGATGTACCTGTAATTCCTTAGGTGTGTCCATCTTTTTATTGAACGGTTAAGGCTTTTGGAGAGTTATTTGAGCTACGTGCTATTTTCTTTTATTTTTAGAAAATTACGACGACTTATACCACTGGTCAGTTGAATGCTATTCAGACTTCTGGGCCAAGTTCTGGAAGTTCAGTGGGATTATCTTCTCCTGCATGTATGATGAGGTGAGTAGGGTCTTTGCTTATGGACTGTCTCCTTGTGGCTGTGATGCAAAACGAAGGCTTTGTTTTTGGGAACATGAATCCTGTCTGCTTTCAAAGCCTCACATCGACGGGAAAGTCCTCGCTGTAGAGAGTTGGCAGGAAGTTGGGTTGAGGTCGCAGATCCCATGGAGAGCAGGCAGCTTCTGGACCCTGATGCACGGACCCCGGTCCCCTGCTGGGGACGTGAGCGGTTCTACATAGTGGGACGTCGTCCTATTTTTATTTTGTTAAGAAAATTTTAACTGTGGTGAAATACACATCACAAAACTTGCTGTCTTCACCATTTCGGCGTCCGGTTCAGCGGTGCTATGAATCCATGTCCGCTGCTGTGTTTGAAACCAACAGGACGTTTATTATTTCTTAAACCTGGAGTTTAGGGACCTTCACGACTCCGTGTGCTGTCTGTCGGTGACTATCTGGGGAAATGGGGTCTCCTGTTACTCAAAGTTTAATTTATTGGATTTGACTGTGGGGTGAACCCCCCCAAAAGCACCATCAGTAGGCACTTGGAGAAGAAAGTCAAGATTCCAGCCCTTGGAGGAAGGAGGTGAGGGGCCCAGGGCGGGGAATTGTGGGGGCGTGGGGAATTATGGGGGCGCGGGGAATTGTGGGAGGGTCAGACGCTTGCTGCTGCTTCGTCCCCTGCTTCTCCGTGTGCCTGGTCAGAGCCTGGGACATTCGGCAGATGCCACATCTAACTAATTCCCTTCCTGTCAGCGGCTCTCATGATGTAGGTGCTTCGTAAGTGTCTGTTGAAAGAATATGTTAGTGGGGATGGTGTTTTCCCTTTGGCATTAATTTCCTTTTTTTTTTTTAATATTTTTATTTATTTCTAGGAGAGAGAGAAAGACAGCGTGAGCAGGGGAGTGTCAGAGAGAGAGGGAGTCACAGACTGAAACAGGCTCCAGGCTCTGAGCTGGCAGTCAGCACAGAGCCCGACGCGGGGCTCGAACCCAC